GAAGCTTCTTCGTCCACTCCGGAAATGCCCTGTAAAACCCTGGCCCGTGTAGCGGTTCCCTCCATGCACAGCCATGACTGGTGAGAGGGCCCCCTTCCGTTGGGGCGGTCCCTTTCGAAAGGCCCTGGTCTGAACTGAAGATACTAAAATGCAGTTAATAAGATAGCAAGATTTTTTTTTTCTCTCCCAGCCAGTCGTTGCCAGCTTTGTCTTTCAAAATAGTTATGTGATTGCCGAAAACTAACTGCACTTTATTTCTTTGTACGTACTGCTGTTTATAAAGAACTTTTTTCAGCGATTCCACTCCTAACCTTTTGCTATAAGAAACGGTTTAAGGCCCACTTGCAGTAGAAGAGCGGGCAAGGTTTGCATTTTGGACTAAAATGAAATCCTCTGATGTTTTCTGTAGGCTGTATTTGGTGAATTTATGTATCATGTTAAGTAGCACTAGAAAGCCTATGTGCCAACTTTCAACTCAGTGTTATGTTCTTCTGCTCCATTACATGCTGGGGTGGGGGGGGAGATTTCAGATCTTTCTACAGAATTGGCAGTGTTCATACTTTAGTAAGATATAGGCACAGATAATTCCTATAGGGGCTAGGGAGGGGAGCGGCAAGAAGATACGGCGCCAGCCCATTTCTCATCTTTTTTCAAAGTAGACTAACAGGGTTTGAAGTAGCACGTTTAATAAGCACAGAATCACTGTTAACTATTTTAGGCTCTGACATACTTGCCTTTGTAAGTTTTCTCAAAGAAATAAAAAGAAATAGTTATGTTTATTGAATGATTATTAATTACTTTCCTATCTTCCGAAAGGTATTTCCCAAATTTGGAATAGCTCTTTTACTGTTTTTTTTTCTCTTTGTGGTATTAAAATGTTTTATGGGTTAACTTTTATAATAACTTACTTTGTGAATCTAGCTAAAATAAGGTGATTTGTATGTTTTATAAGATTATGATTTACAATAGAACCGTTGTGAATGATGCAGACAAAATACACAACATTTAAAGGCCCTGTTAAGAAGTTAAGTGTCCTCATCCTGATTTTCATTCTGTTTTAAGGTTTTGTAAATCGGGAGATTTAGTTACAATTATTTCGTCAAATGAGTGGTGACATTATGTCTATGTTCTTGGATTTATATAGGAATCATGACATTATGTGTGACTTTTTTTAATAAAAACTCATACATTTTTCCTTATATTAACATTGCAGAAATTCAGGATGGATATTTTGTAAATGCCAAGTGAGAAAACTTTTGATAGAATGTTTTAAGAAACTAGAGTAATATGAATTATATTACAATATAGTAAGCTCAGTAACAGGGAAAGATTGAAGGCGAACGAGGTCCAGGCAGAAGAAGAACATCGTGGCTTCAAAATCTAAGGGACTGGTTTGGACAAAACTCAGCAGCACTTTTTCATGCGGCTGCTGATAAAAACAGGATCGCCAACGTCCGATAACGGATATGGAAGAAGAGGAGAAGGAGAAGGAGGAAGAAGAAGGAAGGAGGAGGAGAAGGAGGAGGAGGAGGAGGAGGAAGAAGAAGAATTGTGAATTCTTGGCCCTTGGATTGCAAGTTGCTCCAAGAGTTAGAGAGCCAACTCCTGTCACCTTAGCCAGTAGTTGCTACCTTTTCACACTACAAATTGCCCCCCCTTATGTATTTCTAACCTTTAGAAAATTAAGCAGTCCATAAGGCCATGAAGAGTTGGCGGTGGCTTACAGTCTTAGCCAAGTAGGTCTTCCAACAGATATGGGTGATGATGTTTCAGCTATTATCTCCACATAAATGAACAAGAATGAATATTGTGGACTTAATGCATCCTGACAGCTACTCCACTGCATGGGTTCAGGAGAGACAAAATATAGCACAAGTAAGTAGTACTGGCCAGAACACATTTGTTTCTGATCCTTAAAATACAAGGTAGCAAACTATGACAACTTACCTCTTTAGCCTCCCTCAAGTATCCTTTCATACTCTCAGGCCACCTATCCTTTCTTTCCTCAGAGCATTTCTTCTGTAAGGGCCTTTTTAAGTTATGAAGAGCCTGGTTCCATCGCTCAATTAATCTGGAATTCCAAAGTAGTAAGATAACTTTTGTTTTTCACCTCTAGCACTTTGGATGCTCTTTTTATCAACTAGCTTGCCATTTGGGGAAAGGGAATTGTCCTTGCTTACCCCAAAGGAACATATAAATACAGTATAATTCTATTTCCTGTGGTGTCAGGAAAGCGACAACTCAGAATGAGCTGAGATTACTAAAGGGTGCAAGGATGACAGAACGTTCTATTAAACATAAATGCTGAAAATACAAAGAATTAGTATACTGTACCAGCTGCTCAGTGGAAAAAGTCAAAATGCTAACCAGCAATAAACGCAAAGCTACTCAACTCATATTTTTGTGTAGCCTACACCAACAAATGAATTAGATTTTTCATTAGGCAGTGTGAAGATCGGGATGAAGGAGCAAGATTTAGACTGGAGATGGATAGAAATAAGATCAGGAAATACCTCTATTTTGAATGAATTGAAATTCAAGCAAACTATTTTGAGATACTTATTTTGGGAGGGAAAACTGGAGAACTGATTTAAGTGCCGAGTGCCTGGAGCAGTGCTCCAGTTCCTGTCTTCAAGAGCGGGCAGGGGATTATCGAGGAAATTATAGACTAGTCCGATTGAGGGCGATAACCATCTAGAATGAAAGATTCAAAGAGATTGATAAAGCATCTAGGAAATATAATTACTCAAAGCCTGCATGGAACTTGTCAGGCTAGCCTTATCACATTTGCTATCTTTATTAATCAATTTGGGAAATGCTATAAAATTTAGTTTCAGTTTGATAAAATACCCCGCAAGAAGCTCAGAGTGAAGGTAGCTAAAAAAGGGTGCTGCCAGATGTCCCTTCAGCGCAAAAAGACCAGCTGGGCAGATGAGCACCACCATGATGGGCCTTTGACAGGGGTAGGCCACCTTGGCTCTTTTATGACTCGTAGACTTCAACTCCCAGAATTCCTCAGCCAGCATGGGGGAACTATGGCCCCATGACTCGTGGACTTCAACTCCCAGAATTCCTGAGCCGGCATGGCTTAGCATGGAAACCTCTCCCTTTCCCCTCAGCATGGCTGGCTCAGGAATACTGGGAGTTGAAGTCCACAAGTCATAAACGAGCCAAGGTTGCCTAGCCCTGGTCTATGACAATTTGCCGTGGTCAACTTGCCTCGGCCAACTGGCTGCAGGACAAGAATCACACTAATATCGAAGAAATAGTGGAATAGAATCATTAAAGAAAGGAGGCAAAAGGAGACACAGAATGAAATGTGAAAGGCAAACGTTAAAATAAGTATTTGTTTTAAATAATTAAGTAGCATTGTTAAATTATCCCACAGCAAGTTGTCCCGTGGCGAATTGTCCCATTCCTGCCGCAGCGCCCTTCCCCTCCTGCATCACTAGGGCTGCCGGAAGCTATATAGCTAGACACGTGTGCGGGAGCAACAACTCGTCTAGTTCAGGAGAAGCCAGCGTTGCCCCTCCCCATGCCATAAATGAAAAAAAAATAAAATAAATACGAGCACTTCACTTACTGGCCATTAAGAGGAAAAGAGAGCCGAAGAGATTCTTTGCTGGAAAGGCGAATATGTGCAATCTATAAAGGAAGATTGGGCTATAAAAATATAGGATTACCGAGATGTAGAAGGTAGATATTGCAACTAAGGGCAGTCTTGGTACTAGAAGTGTAGGCTTAGAACAGGGGTAGGCAACCTTGGCTCTTTTATGACTCGTGGACTTCAACTCCCAGAATTCCTGAGCCAGCATGGCTCAGCTTGGAAACCTCTCCCTTTCCCCTCAGCGTGGCTGGCTCAGGAATTCTGGGAGTTGAAGTCCACGCCTCATAAAAGAGCCAAGGTTGCCTACCCCTGCCTTAGAACTAAGCACAGCACCGGAATGTAACGGACCAACGAAGAGTATTAATGAAGCACCAAGACATAAGAAAACAGCCAAATAGATACAAGCATAGGAGATTAACCTATGCCCAAGATTCCTCTCTGTGCAGTAAAACTGCCCCAACTCCCAAAGGGAGATAAAAAACAGAAATTCTTATTAAATAAGTGTAAGAATAAAAAAGCAAGTTTTTATTGTAGAGTCTGAGGCTAACCTAATCAGTGGTAGCCAAAACATTCTACGAACCTCAGTCCAGTATCAAATGAATTGAGCTCAATTTTAGCAACCATATAAACATGCAATTGCAACAAAGCTTCTTTGACACGTTTCCTTCCAAATGTTCATAGTCCAGTTTTATTCTTTTTTTTTTTCCCACACGGCATAAGCAATTATCTAACCTCCAGAATGCATTATTCAAAAACTTTCTCAAACGCTCACTTTCATTCACTTTACAAAACCTGAATCTTTTAATAATGTGCTTAAATATCATATTGAAATAGAACTGTATTTTTCTTTAAAACTCTTGGCAATACAACTAGGCAGTTATCGGAAGTTGCAAGCTAAAATGCAGTTTTCTACCCTCAATCAAAGCTTGAGAAACTAAAAATCCACTTGGGAATAAGTCATCTTAAGTACATTAAGTATATTCACCACTACTATATTAAATTTTTAAAAAAAAACAGATTTACAGTACTTTCTTAAAGAGCTCGTTTTTCTTAAAATTGAAAATGTACCACACTCATTAAAGGGTCAAGACTTGATTAAAATCTTCAGCCCAATTAGCCAGATTAAAAACTGAGGGGAAAATTCTGTTTAAAACATCTGGGTGACTTTGGGTTGGATAAAAGGGTCTCTTATTATTGCAACATCTAAATACTAATATTGATTGTCATTACTTTCTAATCACTTCCAGGAATAAACTCATTAACTATTCCTAAGGTATTAGAAACTTTTGGAAAGACAAGTTGGAAAATGTCAGACCAATCTGCCTTCAATCAAAAAATGAAGGAAAATGTTAATTACAAGCTTAGAATTTAAAGAATCTGAAATAAACAGCAAACAGCTAAATAAGATTTAATCTCAGAAAACTATAAATTGACTAAGGGTCCAGATAAAATTGGAACGTTGAAACTTTTAAAATAAGATTTAGGAATTAATTATGAAAACAAACTGCTTCTCATGGAAAATAGACTGTTTTGGTGTTTACAATACATAATAAAGATACACAGTTTCAAAGTTTCCAAATTTATGAACAATTTCAAAAACTGGAAATGCGTACATTGTCCGAGTGTAGCTCTATACACGCAATATCCTGTCCTTTCTTAGAGTAAACAAACATTATGCAAAGCGCACAGGAGTAAAAGCAAGTAACAGACTTTGTGACAATAATAGAACAGACACATTTCAGGCAGCAAGTTTATTGTAAAGTACGTGATGTGCTAAATTAAGGCAATTATATATGCAAAGTAAAAGATCCTGCATACTTATCTGTCTAGGATAACTTATATTTTTATAAGCTCTGATTGCTGGTAGCAATAGTTGGCTGTTTGCAGGTCTTGTTTTATTTTCTGAGAGTTGCTTCCTACTGACCCACAATGGCCAGGAGCAAGCTTCTATAATCCCCACTGGTGTCACTCGAAATCATGGTAGCCAAAGTCTTCTGGTACATCTGTGTGAACAGCTGCTTGATCTGTACAAGATCAATCTGTCCCAAAAGAAATAGAATAAAAATATCACATGGAAGAAATTTAAAGCCACACCTTCAGGTTGAAAGACAGGATGCTATTAAGTTTTTAACTTTTTTTTTCTTTTAAAAAAGTACAGTATATATGTATGTGTGCGTGTATCTTTCTCTTTTTGCCTTTTTTTTGCTGGAAGTTTTATTTCACCAATAAAACAGGGTCTTAAAAAAACCCCCAAATTTCAATAAAAAATTTAGATCACATCCTTTTCAACAAGAAACGTGACTTCAGAAATGATCATATTGTGTTTATGTTGTTGGAGCAGTATTGAAAGTAATGCTTTATTTAAATATAAAGTTCCATTTCAGTCAGATGCAATTACATGGGCTAACTCAACCTTGAGATTTATTTCGGTCATGTGGGAGCTGACTTTTGGATGGAGAAAATGCACAATCAAAAGCACAATCAAAAGCATCGTTCACCATTAGAAATGCAAAAGCATGGCTTCCACTATAGTATTTTAGTGGTTATAAATATATATAAATAAACCACCAATGACTGTAACAAAAAAGGCTTCAAATTATCAGTATTTATATATATATATATATATATATATATACTGATAATTTGAAGCCTTTTTTCGTATATATATACAGTACTTTCGTATATATATACAGTACTTTCTGAAGTTCCAATGCTCATCACTTATCAATGTTTCAACTGACTTTCCTGTCATGAGAAATTCATTTATAGAAAATATATAATTTCTCATGACAGTTAATAATAACATTAATAAGAAAATACAGTCCTCGACTTGCAACAGTGCATTTAGTGATTGTTCAAAGAGGCAGCGGCACCAAAAAAAAGTGACTTATGAACCTTTTTTACACTTATGATTCTTGTAGCATCCCCAGGGTCATGTGATCAAAGTTCAGAGGCTTGGCCACTGATTCATATGTATGACAGTTGCAATGTCCCGGGGTCACGTGCCCACCTTTTGCAATCTTCTGACAAGCAAAGTCAACGGGAAAGCCAAATTCACTTAACTATGTTACTAACTGGACAACTGTAGTGACTCAGTTAGCAACTGTGGCAAGAAAGGTCATAATGTGGGGCAAAATTAACTGTCTTCCTTAGCAACAGAAATGTGGGGCTGAATTATGGTTGTAAGTCAAGGGCTACCTGTCTGGAGTTAAGGACAATTGTTACGTTATTCTAGTTTTTTATTGTTATTTTTCCTCCTAAAAGAGATTTGTTTTTAAAATTGAATTGAACCGCTTATTTGTCATATTAAAGGTGTAAACGTCTCTTAAGTCAAGGCTTTTCAACCTTTTCACCCATTGTGCCACTTTTAGGATATGGCAATATCCGAGCACCACCAGTCGCCTAGCAAGGTGTCAAAAATTTGATGACCCAAAAAAAAAAGGAAAAAAGTGATAAAGTACAGGTAGTCCTCAACTTACAACAGTTCGCTTAGTGATGTTTGAAGTTACAATGGCACTGAAAAAAGTGCCCCCAAGCCACAGCCGAGCAAGACACCTGCCTGCCCACCCAGCGGCGCTCTTCCTCCTGTCCGAGGTTTTCATTGTTGTGAGCATTTCTGTTGAGGATTGGTAGCAGGGGTGGGGTGGGGAGGTGTTTGGTTTCTATTCCCCCCCCCCGTCTGCTGGGTGGTTGCAGCAGGTTTTGGTCACTTCACATGACCCTGGGACACTGTGACCGTCATAAATATGAATCAGTTGCCAAGCATCTGAATGTAAATCACAAGACCCTGGAGAGGCTGCAACATTCCAGCTGATTGGTGCTTCTTCTGGGCTCAGCAGAAGCGCCAGGATCAGTGCTGCTTTCCAGCTGATTGGTGCTTCTTCAGGGCTCAGCAGCAGCGCCAGGATCAGTGCCGAGCTCCAGCTGGAGCCTAGCACTGATCCTGGTGCTTCCACTGAGCCCTGACAGCCATCTCTCACTCAGGCTTGTGCGGTGCTGCTACCGGTTCAGCTCATTCCCCTCCCCCGCTACCACTTTTCTAGGATGGTCGTGTACCACCTGCCAGGTGGCAATGTACCACAGGTGGTACCCGTACCACTGGTTGAAAAGTCCTGTCTTAAGTGATTTATCATGGTCTGATTTTTTTTTTACATCCCCAAATGCCTGGCATTTTAACAGGAGCGTGTAGACTTTTTATATCCACTGTACAACAGCAAGACACACCGTTATGTATGCTATAGCAGAACGTCAACATTCTTTACCTCACTGCGAGTTACAATAATTCTAACCAGCGTAGAATCCTCTGTGCCGGCTCCTTTCATGGCATGATAAAGTCTTTCTGCAAAAAAGGCTGGGCGATTTAGAGCACATTGTACTGCAAAAGAAAGCAATCCAAAGAATATGTCCAAGTTAGCACCGGGAACTAAAAAAAAAAATCACAGTTTTCCAGCAACAAGGCTGAACGTTTTAAATACAAACTTTAGACACAAAACTTAACTTTGGCATTATTACTGCAGCCCCTTTTACGTAGGGAAATGAGTAGAAGCCTTGAGATCACTGGACACTGATAGTGATAGGTGGGGATGTGTATATATATAATTCAGTTCATTGAGATTTGTGATTTCATTTTTAAAGTTGGTGTGCTATATAATTGGGCTTCTGTCAGAATGGAGAAGAGGGGAAAAAAGCAAGTCAGACGTAGCGAAACTCCCAATTTTCAGAACTAAATCCCTGGCATTAAGAAGCCAATTAACATCCTGAGGTCCTGGTGGAACGTGAAGCAATATTTCTCCTTTGAATTATTGCCTCACAGAAATCTGTCCTAGATTCATAAACTGTTGGATTGTGATCTTGATAATGAGAGACAAATATGAAAAATTCTATGTATTCACCAAACAATAGCTTATTTTTCTTTTTCTTTTATTTATTTTTTATTGTAATAAGTTATGCCAAGTATTATTATTTTTTTAAGAAAAGCAACACTAGAACTACTAAGGATAAATACGGTCAAATGAGAACTACTGGAAGAAGTGGGAGTGCCTCCATTCCAGCTCCCAGCCACAGGACCTCTTTTTAATGAAACCCCTTATTGAAAAATATCTTCAAAGAGAATTCAGTGCTAGTATAAGGCCCTGCCTCAGCTGAATCTCTCAAGAAAGCAGAACTCTTGAAACTGGCAGCATTTCCAAAGGGACTTTTTGAAGAGAAGGCAGGCAGAATCTGAAGTTCCCACGTGAAATCGTTAGGCTAAAACCCATTGTTCAAATCCCCTCCCAACTGCCTAGTCCAGGGGTAGGCAACCTTGGCTCTTTTAAGACTCGTGGACTTCAACTCCCAGAATTCCTGAGCCAGCATGGCTCAGCATGGAAACTTCTCCCTTTCTCCTCAGCATGGCTGGCTCAGGAATTCTGGGAGTTGAAGTCCACGAGTCATAAAAGAGCCAAGGTGGCCTACCTCTGGCCTAGTCCATAGGAGCCAATCCAGAGTTGTGAAGATGTGAGAACTCCAGTCAAAAACTGTGATAAGAAGATGTTCCCAGGTGTCTCTTCCTCGGTGAGGTGAAGCAAATGGCCTCGGGCACTTCCCTCCTCACTAACATTCCCCAGAAAGGTATATTAAAGTGCAGAAGAACAGAGTAAACAAAGCAAAGCTAAACACATCAGAGTAGAGCTTCAAAGGTTCCCCCCCTCCCATCAGGACAGCAGCCCCCCAACAGGGATCTATAGGGATCTGACAGCCAGCCTAAAGTTTTGTTCCAAGACATTTGTTAAATAAGATAATTAAGCACTTATTCTTACATTACCTAATTTCTTCTACTTTTAATTCCCTGAGAGAATATATTATAAACCTAGCTTCCAATCAGTGGCATCTTTCAAAAACTATTCTAATTATTAATTCTTATAGGTCCTTGAAAATTAAATTAGCTGTAAAATTAAAAAAAGAAAAAAAAATAACTTACAGATAGTCTTCAAGCCACGCTCTACATTTCCTGAAAATTCCCGGCCAATGGTGCTTAATAAATCGCGGTTAGCTATCTGCAAATAAACGTCAGGAAAACGAAAGAAACTGTAAAGAATGCCGGTGCAGCAAAATCATTTTTTTTTTCCTTTCGCGGGTAACAGTTTACTAGAGGTGCCCCACCTAATCTTCTCGGCCTTTGGTATACCTGTGAATAAGCTTCCACAGTAGCTTTCAGCTGGGGGAAGCTTCTAGATGCAAGGATCATGTTGAAGCAAGACTCATCCGTTCCCAGCTTTCCTTCTCCAGCTTGGTAAAGTCGTTGTGCATCTTGCTGGGCTTTTTGATAATCTACAGTAGGATTCTCGTCCCGATTACCCTGCAAAGAAAAACAACGTATTGTGACCACTGCACACTGACTTTCATTTTGTCACTAATCACTTAACAATATAAACAATGAAAAACACCGTATTCTAAAAAAAAAAATAGCCACACTACATCCTTTGTAAAAATTACTTTTAATAATTTAATTTAATAATTTAAAAAACAAAAGTGCGTATAGTCAAGGCCATGGTTTTCCCAGTTGCAATGTATGGTTGTGAAAATTGGACCATAAGAAAGGCTGAGCGCCAAAGAATGGAGGCCTTTGAACTCTGGTGCTGGAGAAGACTCCTGCGAGTCCCCTGGACTGCAAGGCGTTCAAACCGGTCAGTCCTAGAGGAGGATCAACCCTGACTGCTCTTTAAAAGGCCAGATCCTGAAGTGGAAACTCAAGTACTTTGGCCTCCTAATGAGAAGGAAGGACTCACTGGAGAAGAGCCTAATGCTGGGAAAGATTGAGGGCAAGAGAAGAAGGGGATGACAGACAATGAGATGTCTGGATTGAGTCACTGAAGCAGTAGGCGTAAGCTTAAATGGACTCCAGAAGATGGTAGAGGACAGGAAGGCCTGGAGGAACGTCGTCCTTGGGGTCGCGATGGGTCGGACACGACTTCGCAACTAAGAACAACAACTTTTAATAAGAATTCATTAAAAATGAAAATTAGTCATGAATCCTTTCTAAACCCAATGTTTAGTTTCATGCTCTTCGCCATGTTTTGAAAAAGTCTAGTTAAAACTGTATAGAGAAAAATTACCACTTGGATTGTGGGCTGCCATCCATATGTTTTTACAAGGGATTTCTGAACTTACTTGTCTATTTAACTACATCTACTTCTGTATGGCAAGTAATATTTAATGTCCATTTAATTTCTTTAAGATAACCTGTTTCAATGCTATTAGGTAAACACAAGCAAGTATAATAATCACATTCAAACTGAGTGATCTTATATAGCACCACTAAAAAATCAGTACATCTTTGCCATGGGAACTCCATAGATACAGAGAATTATATTAGTTTGATTTTGAAATAATCCAAATGTAAACCAGCAAATAAGAACTTAGAAATCTCTTGCAACCTTCAGAAACTAGAGAATTTTGAGGTAGTTAGTTTAAAAAAAAATTAAAGTAAAGAAAATTGGCTTCCTTAAGCATTTAATAATTTATAACATGTATACTTGAACAGAGGATTAAGATGACCCTTAACTAAACTATATAACTAAAAAAAACTCCCATTCTTTTCTGTCAAATTACTTGAAATATTTGGTGGTGGAGAGGTGGCAGAATTTATTCAACAATTAACATTTCAGTGATGCAATTCAAAATATATTCAGTAATGCTTTTCTTATAGCATTTCTTTTATATACGTATCAGATTTTCTTTTTATTCTTATGTCTTGGACCATAAAGAAATAAACTGAATTGCTTGTTAATGAAACTTGTTAGAATATGACTACCAAATTCACTGATTTATACCTAAGCAGTTTCTGCTTTAAAACCAAACTAAAATGCATTTTTTTTACTTTCATCCTTTATAACAAATGTTTAAATAAATTTAAAATTTGGGCTAAACACAGAACTGAATGGTATAGATAGAAACAAGCTCCTGGTAATGTGTGACGTGTGTGTTGACCAGAGTTCTGGCTGCGTATGAATACTGTCATCCCTTTGTAAGGGGCAGTTATGATAGCTGCCTATGGAAGCCATCCCACAGCACTGCTTTTCTTCAATGGGCCTTCTTCTCCCAAGACCTCTGCTGCATTTCTGAAAGCCTTGCTCTAGCACAGTGGTGGCGAACCTATGGCACGGGTGCCAGAGGCGGCACTCGGAGCCCTCTCTATGGGCCCACGTGCCGTTGCCCCAGCCTTGCCTCCCCCCATGACACCCTCCTCACCAGCAGCCCTCCTGGAGAAGGGTCGCCCCCGAGCGCGGCCCACGCAGAGCAATGCAGTCAAGGACATGGCAGCCAGGCAGCGTAGACAAGATTCTGCCCTCACGCCCCATCGTGCACAGTTGATGCTGCGGGGCATGGGCAGAGGTGATGCCATGGTGCTGCTGGGTGATCTGCGGTGGGCCCTGGAGGTGATGAGTGGCCCTGTGAGCAGTCGGGGTGGGGGCGGAGTAGGGGCGGAGCAGGGGTGGAGAGGGGGCGGGGCCAATTTTTGGGCACTCGGTCTCTAAAAGGTTCGCCATCACTGCTCTAGCATCTTCTTGAATCAACAACATAAATTCAAATGCTAATACTCTCTACATACGTCATGGTTCTGCCAGCTACTACACCTCCATCTCTCCTCACTGCTTCCCAAAGATTCTGTGTTGTAAGAGTCATCTTGCCTCTTCCAGCCTTTTCCTATGGGAAAATGCAACCTATGGAAAATTGTGAGAACCTCTGCTACTTACCATCTAAAACAAGAAATGTACCTGGCTGGATACATTGATGACAGGAAGCTAAAGATTAGTGGGTGACGGTGGACACTCAAACTTGCAGTGTAAGAATAGGCTTCACAAACAGAACTATATTGCGATGGAATGTGGTTGTTAGCTCACCTGACACATAGATACAAGTAATCGTTCAAAGTGACCAGATGTATCAGCCCGAACATCATGCTCGATATCTCTTCCAAATTCACTTTTGTAACATCTGACTATTTCTTGAATCTCCCGATTTGTTCTTGTGCACAGAATTTCAATCAATACATTTTCTTGGGTACCTGCCCCCTGAAAACAGAAAAACAGAGTTGCTGTATCAACACCAAAAGGAGTGCTAGAAAAAAATGATCATGCCTATATTTTATAGTACATCGACATCTAGGCCAGCTATGCTCAGGAATTCTGGGAGTCGAAGTCCATGAGTCATAAAAGAGCCGAGGCTGCCTACCCCTGATCTAGGCTAAGCTGCTTCATATAATAGAATATACTGCAAGCATAAGTCACATTATGCAATTCCCAACTCCCAAATAAATCAGGATCAGTTTCTATCTTTGATCACCTTCTCCTCCTCATTTTCTGTGCGGTCCTGGGCTGGTTCCACTTCGTGAGATTACTTAATGGACAACCTTCCTAGTTGCGGAAAGACAATCGGCCACATAAGTTTGGAAAGGGTGGAATATGTCAGAGTCTGAATGGCTTCTCTAAATTAGTGGCTCTTCTTTTAAACAGTAAATTCCTATTTACATACAAATAGGTTGCCCTTAGGGCTTATACTGAGCCTTAAGGAAGCTGCCCTATGTGACGTTTCCACTACTGAGGCCTCCATTTAAAACAGAGTAGGGGACAGAGAACTGTAGAAAACTGCTGGGATCCAGAGCTTCTGAGTTCCTGTCGTCATTTTTGGTGCCCGCTGGGAGTTGCAGAAACATGGCCACATAAAAGGTAAATATGATTTGACAGGCATAACATCCAGATCTAGTAAAATCATTCCCAGGACTTAAATATAGGCAAAGAAGCAAACTATTTGCTCAGAACAAATTACCATTTTGTTTTTCTAGCAATAAAAGAAGAGGAAGCGTAGCACTGGATTAAAATATTCATTCTTGCTCAGAAATTCAAATGAATTAATGTTCTAGAGCAGACATGTCAAACTCGCGACGTCACGCAACGTATTGGGCCGGTTTTGCCATTGCCAGCAATGGGGTGGGCGCGGCTTCCACGGGCCGGCACTTTGACACCCCTGTTCTAGAGTATCTTGTTGATGATATTCTTCCTAAGAAGGAAAGGATAGCATAGAACAGCATATTTTTTTTAAAATAAACTCGTACCTTCATCGCATGCCTTAAACTCCAGGCATCATAATAGGTACGTGGCATGAACAACGCGAGGATCAGTTCTTCCATATTCCCACTAAGTTCCGACTTCAGGTCTTTAATTAAATCCTGTCCAGTTATCAAAATAAAGTATCAGAAGGAAGTATATTCACAAAACCTTAAACATGTATTTGAACATAGACTCAGGACAAAAGTTAGCTATAGTAAGATACATTTCAAACAAAACCTTAAGGAAATAGATGACTTATTTTACATTTTATATTATTTTATGTTATGTTTATATTAGGAGACGCCAATTCAGTAATTATTTTAAAACAATGACTTTCAGTTTTAAGTGTAAAACCTAAATGCAACGTTTTAATTAGTAAAACACGACTGAATAACAATAATAATAATTTAAGGAACACAGTAGCAACATTATTATGAAATGGGCTGCAGTGCATAGGCATACTTAACACAAACAATAGAAGCAAATAACTATAGCAATTAAGAAAACATAAATAAATAAAGCAGTGTAAAATAAGGCAGGCAATTCAGATATTCTCAACTAAACTGTTCATTTTCCACCTGGCTCACCCCAGTCTAGGTTTGCATTTTATTTCAAAAGCAGTTCACAGCTTCTGAAAAAATGTCTTGTCCAAAAAGACAACACCTGCTAGATTTCCTTCCTCCGCAGAGGTAGTCCTTGGATTACGATGGCAATTTGGGCCAAAATTTCCATCACTAGGCAATGTGGTCCTAAAGTGCAATATGACGTGACCGCGTTTCACAGCACTGACAATCCCAGCACTTCTGGTTACTGTTGTAATTCCAGAAATGTGTGGGTCATTAAGTGGGAAGAAATAGTAGCCCCAGGCAAACAGGCTGGCGAATGAGACCTATAGTGAGAGCTACAGGCAGGCAGTGATGCTCGAGCAGATGCCAAAGTGGGAGAGCAGTTAACAGCAGGAGCGTTGTGTCACCTCCTGCCAACTTCCCCATTGACTTTGCTTCCAAGGAACCAGCAGAGGATGTCAGAAAACACGATCGCATGACTGCAGAGATGCTGCAACAGCTGAAACTCTGAGGACCAGTCATAAATATCCCTCATTCAGCACCATCATAACTTTGAATGGATGCTGAATGGATGCTGAATGATCATTACCTGAGGGCTATCTGCATGTGCTGAGTGCAAGTGTCAATGCTGCTAACATTGGATGTTCTTGCTTTGACAACATATGGAGATGCAGCCTTTTTCTTTCTTATGCTTTACTCTTAGAATTAAATGATACTGGGGGGAGGGGGAGGAATGTGATGGGAGTTAGTTAGATATACAATATTGTAATAAGAGCTAATAAGGCATGGCGGGATAAAAGAACTGGGCGGAAAGTCAGCATTTCAAACTAATTGGAGAATGTGATTTATTACTGTTAGTTGTAGGAGGGAATTGTGCTTTGAACTATGTGCTAAGGGGAGGGGAAGTCAGATTTGGGCTTTGACCATGTACATGCAGATGCCAAGTTATTTGAATAAAGATTCTTTAAGGTAAAAAATGCCTCGAAGTTCTTTGAAGAGGAACATCTGTTGGAACCATGACAGCAAGCAGATGTTCACATCCAATTAGCAAAAACACTATTCAGTGGCAATTCGTTCTTTACTTCCTTGAAACCAGGTGAAAAATGGAGAGTGGATTTACCCGTGAAATATAAATTTTTTTTAAAAAAATCTGTACATAAATATAACTTGATCTTTTCTTGAGGGCTAAGACCTCAAGAAAATCCCTTGAAAATTGTAGGACGTTCAGAGGAGAGACTATCATTGAACTACCGAGGGTCAATATATTAAACATCATTCCCACAAGGTAAAGTTCAGTAAAAATATGGATCACACACAAATGGAAGATCAAACCAGATTTCCTTTAGATCTCTCTTGGCTGCCATAAACAGACCAAATGTCCTGCCATGTGGCTGCTCTTCCTTTGTCAATTACAGGGAGTCCTCAACTTACGACCACAAATTGAGACCAGAATTTCCATTGCTAAGCGAGGTGGTTAAATAAGTCACACTCAATTTTACAACCTTTTTTGCAACGATCATTAAACGAATTAATGCAATGATTAAGCGAATTAGGTGATTATTAAGCAAATCCAGCTTCCCTTACTGACTTTGCTTGTCGGAAGCTGGCTGGTGATCTCATGACTCTGGGATGCTGTAGCTGTCATAAATATATGCCAGTTGCCAAATTTTAATCATGATGCTACAAGAGAAGTGCAAGGACCAGCTGTAAGTCACTTTTTCAGTGCTGGTGTAACTCTGTCATTAAAACAATAGCTGTAAGTCAAGGACCAACCATTTTACCTTGCCATACATAGTCTTGAAAGTAGTTTTAATTTGTTGCCTCTGATCATTTGAACGGTGGGAAACGACATCAATGATTGCTTGCTCATCCGTACCTTGGAAGCAAAAAAAGACGTATTAAGTCAATTTTATATCAGAACCATTCGTTCATCTCACCCCTGAAGGTCACACTTGATGTTTCAAAAGCATAGTGCTCTCACAAAATAACTGCTAAAACTAGTCAGAAATACCCATTTATCAGGAGATAATCAATCCATCAAATAATATTTATTCAGTCAGTGATCAGGAGACAACTAATGCTTTTGTTGTTAGTTGCGGTCATGTCCGACCCATCGTGACCCCATGGACAATGTTCCTCCAGGCCTTCCTGTCCTCTACCATCTTCTGGAGTCCATTGAAGCTCACGCCTACTGCTTCAGTGACTCCATCCAGCCACCTCATTCTCTGTCGTCCATTTCTTCTACTGCCCTCCATCTTTCCCAGCATTAGGCTCTTCTCCAGTGAGTCCTTCCTTCTCATTAGGTGGCCAAAGGACTTGAGTTTCAACTTCAGGATCTGACCTTCTAAAGAGCAGTCGGGGTTGATCTCCTCTAGGACTGACCGGTTTGATCGCCTTGCAGTCCAGGGGACTCGCAGGAATCTTCTCCAGCACCAGAGTTCAAAGGCCTCAATTCTTTGGCGCTCAGCCTTTCTTATGGTCCAACTTTCACAGCCATACATTGCAATGGGGAAAACCATGGCCTTGACTATACGTACTTTTGTTGGCAGGGTGATGTCTCTGCTTTTTAGTATGCTGTCTAGATTTGCCATAGCTTTCCTCCCCAGGAGCAAATGTCTTTTAATTTCTTGAACTAATGCTTACTCCCTGACAATTTTAACAAACATCAGCCTCTAGCTGACCTATGCCTTTTTTCTGAGCAGACAGGTATATTTCTTGGCCAAGCCACTAGACTACACCTCTCCTCCATATTTATTTTTTAAAAAAATAACGAAGGAGCATCCTGTATGTGAATTCCAGCATCCTCCTGAGAAATAAAGATTTTTTTAAAAAAAATTATAAATAAAGATAGGTCTTCTTTTTGCAGCACATTCACTTTCCTTTTAAAATTAAAATAATCCAAACTCTTTTTTTAAAAAATAAATCCTGTGGGACAGGAAACCAAGAAGGCAGATGCCTAAGAAACTGTCCTGGTGACCAAGATAGGCATTTCAGTCCAAGGTTTTGCAGTGGGTCTCGGTCCACTGTGACAAAATGTCTGTGCATCTGGATTTCCACAAGTGTATCACAAACACCACAGATGTCACAGGATTTTTAAAATGTGTTTTCAGCAGTCCAGACTAAAGGAAAAGGTTTACAAATGTGGAGATGTCAGGGAAAAGTCTGAAGGTCAATGTTCTTTTGCTGAAGTGCATCTCTGACGAGTACGTTACTCTAGTCCAGGGCTTTTCAACCAGTGGTGCGGGTACCACCTGTGGTACATTGGCACCTGGCAGGTGGTACGCGACCATCCTAGAAAAGTGGTAGCGGGGGAGGGGAATGAGCTGAACCGGTGGCAGCACCGCACAAGCCTGAGCGAGAGATGGCATTTAAATTTAAATGTAAACACCTCCTACATATTCCAAAACGTAAGAGCTCTTACCAAATCCTTTCATAGCCTTGCGCAAAATCTCTGCGTCCCTCCCTGCGTCAAAGTTAGGAGCTGGTTGAATTGTTCCTTGCATGCTCTGAGTTAATGCTGCAGGCTGAGAATGGAAATCTGTGTTATTACAAAACTTTATTCTTATTAAGAATTTGTTCGATTTTAATAATCAAATATTATTACACTATGGCAAAGTCAGCGGACCAGTGAAATGCCCTGGTTATAATTTACTTGGATTTCAATAAGGGCATTTAATAAAATAGACCACAGCCTATTACTTGATAAGACAGAAAGATGTGATTGGAGAACATCACCACCAGGTGAATTCGTAACAATTGCACTCAAGTCTCAACTCTATAGTGAACCTGGCTGCAGCCATTTTTCTCGTTTTAGGTTGCCACAAGAATGGGAGGGCATGCAGAGGATTTTTACTGTCCCGTGGGAACCACCGCCATGAGCAGGACGAGAGAAGTCTAATTGGTCCAAACAGGAGCAAGCTGTCCAAATTTCCTCCCTGCCCTAACCCTTGTCAATGCTGTTAACATCGAATGTTATTGCTTTGACAACATATGGAGAGGCAGCCATTTTCTTAACTTGTGCATTACTCTTAAGAGTTAGAATTAGATGATACTGGGGGGGGGGGAAGAATGTGTATGGGAATTAGTTAGACATAACAAGATCATAGTAGTGTGTGATTCAAGGTTGTTTGAAATAAGAGATGATAAGAAGCGGTGGGCTGGAGATCTGGAGGGAAAGTCTACATTTCAAACTAATTGGAGAATGTGATTTATGACCGTAAATTAGAGGAGGGAATTGTGCTTTGATACTATGTGTTCAGGGGAGGGGAATCCAGATTTTGGCTTGGACTATGCGATGTTTTGCTACTCAAATAAAGATTCTTTAAGGTAAACAATGCCTCGAAGTTCTTTGAACAGTTTCATCTGTCGGAACCATGACACCCTAAGCCTGGAGGGAAGAACTTTCTGGCAGATGCTTGGTCTAGAATGCCCCAATATAAGAGCTGCCGAGAGGAGGTCATTAATTCCATCATTCCTCTGCCCCAATCAGCCTCTCAGGTAAGCACGAGAGGCCAAATGCAAAGGAGATCCAATGAACCAGGTAATCAATTAACGCAAAAGCTCAGAGAGGAACTAAAAACAGATTCTTGGTCCAGCTACAATAGATCTCTACTGATCTATCGAGGTGGTCTAGCCTGGAAGGGCTCTAAACTGTACCTTCCAGAATTCAGGCCCTCCAACATAGTCATGATTCAAAGCAAGCTGGTCGTTTTGGATTTTGAAAACTTTGCATTTGGTGCGGCGGCAGTTTTGGTGGCCAGGCATGAAAAAGGGATTATGTACAAAACTGTGCTACCTGTGCCGCTATGAAAAGGCCTTCTGTCAAGTCTTGGGAAGAAATAGCCATGGACTTTATTGTAGAATTGCCAGAAAGCAGAGGGAGCACAGTGATCTGGACCGTCATTTATCTTTTCTCGAAGCAAGCTCATTTCATCGCTTGTCCAGGACTCCCGTCTGCCCAGAAGCTAGCCAGGTTGTTTTTAAAACACATCTATCGACTCCATGTGGCACTGAAATGGATTATATCAGATAGAGGAGTTCAATTTATTGCAAAATTCTGGAGGGGGTTTATAAAACTCATCGGATCTACCCAGCGGCTTTCACCTGCTTTTCATCTGAGCACGAATGGATCAGCTGAACGTACGAACGCAATGACATAATGATGTTATGTTAATTACCAACAAACTAATTGGGCGGACCTCCTACCTTTCGCCGAGGTGGCGTACAACAACACTGTACACAGTAGCACTGGATTTACGCCATTTAAAATAGCTACTGGTCAGGATTTTGTTCCTGTGCCCGAATACCCCCAGGAACCTTCCGCTTCTCAAACCTTAGATCAGTGGGTGACCTCTTTTCAAGCGGTTTGGGCCAATGTGAAAAAAGCTCTAACCCGGGCTGCAAAGACATACAAGGAACAGGCTGATAAAAAGCGATCTCCTGTGGGGGAGAAGGTTTATCTTTCCACCAAATATCTAAGATTAAAATTACCGAGTAAGAAATTGGGATCTACGTTCCTTGCCCTTTTCCCATAGTCAAAATTATAAATCCTGTGACAGTCCAATTGCAACTCCCACGACTATTAGGGAAAGTTCACCCTGTTTTCCACTACAATTTGTTAAAATCGGTCACGGAATTGTCCTTGCGGCCGGTTCCCAAAAAGGCACCTGGCCCCATTCTGGGTAGAGGGAGAGACTCATTATGAAATCAAACGTATTCTTGACTCTAGATTGTATAAGGGTAAATTACAAAATTTGGTTCAGTGGAAGGGCTACCCTTTATTGGAAGCTACCTGGGAAAAAGTGCAGATGTGAAAGCAGACAGGTTGGTTAATAAATTTTATGACAAATATCCATATAAACCAAGGGAGGATTCTTAACTTGCATCTTGTTTCATTTGCAGGACCTGCTTTCTTCCTAGGGGGCCCAACTGTCAACCTGGCTGCAGACATTTTGTTCATTCTTGCCACAAGAATGGGAGGGGTGCGGAGGAGGATTTTTACTAATTTAAACATTTTATTGTCCTGTGGGAACCAAGGTCATTTCTATCTGTTAGATGGGGGGCATGAGCATTTAGTTAGAAAGCATGCCAAACTTTTTTATTGGGGAATGTAGCTGATTGCATAGCATTAGGGTGGGAATTTCAACTTTGTAATATTGTTTCTCTTTGAAGGGGATTTCAGACTTGGTTTCACTTTTGACCGTGCCAATACTATGTAACCAATAAACATGTTCTTTGAGGAATCTTCAAGCTTCGGAGTTCTGATTTGTTTGGTCTTATCTATAGGAACAATGACAGTAGTCCTTACTGGAACTGCATTGGAAGTATGCAATGGGGTACCCCAAGGCTCTACCTTAGGCCCAGTACTTATCAACATCTTCATCAATGATTTAAACAAGGGGATAGAAGAGGAACTAATCAAATTTGCAGATGATAACAAGTTGGCAGGAACAGCCAATACTCCAGAATGAAGATATTGAAGGATCTTAACAGATTTGAACACTGGACCCTATCTAATAAAATGAAATTCAATGGTGAAAAAAGTAAATTTCTACATTTAGGCAAGAAAAACCAAATGAACAGATATGGAATAGATGGTACCTAGCTCAATAGTAGTGACTACGAGACTGCTCTTGGAATCCTAATGGACAATCAGTTAAATATGAACCAGCAGTGTGCTGCAGCTGCTAAAAAAACCCAACATAGCCCTAGACTACATTAACAGAGAGATAGAATCAAGATCACATGAAGTATTAGTACCACTTTATAATAGCTTGGTATTATACTTGGAATGTTGCATTCAGTTTTTATTGCCATGATATAAAAAAGATATTGAGACTCTAGAAAGAGTACATAGAAGAGTAACAAGAGTGATTAGGGGACTGGAGGTTAAAATATATGAAAAATGGTTGCAAGAATTGGATATGTCTAGTTTAACGAAAAGGACTGGGGTGACATGATAGCAATGTTCCAATATTTGAGAGGATGCCACATAGAAGAGGGGGTCAACCTATTGTCTAAAGCACCAGAAGGCAAGACAAGAAGCAATGGATGGAATATAATCAAGGAGAGAAGCAACCCAGAACTAAGGAGAAATTTCCTGACAGAACGATTAATCAGTGGTTTTCCATTCATCACCCTCCTTAATCTGGATCCGGTAATAAACCTCTCTTAAATCCAGCTTGGCAGGGGGGGGGGAAGATGGGCAGTTCTTGGCATTCCCCCCCCCCACGGCACCCATCTCCTGGGCAACAGGAATCATATCCTTTACCTCCAGCCTGCCGAACTTCTCCTTCAGCTGTTCGAGTGAGGGGCTGTGGACTGCGGACTGAAACCTCCACTCTCCAGAGTCATCCCATCCCATCAACCCCTTTCCCTTTTTGCTATCCGTAGATGAAGAACCCTGGGATGGTAGCAAGAGAAGCTCCTCTCCAACAGTTACAGGAGTGCTCCTGCACTGAGAGGCAGCCTCGGCTTGAGAGAGGTCTGCCAGGATCATAGCTCCTTCCTGTGGTACCAGTTTCCCAGATTGGATTAACCTGGCTTTGGGCCTGCCGGTGATGCCTCCTCGGTGGCTGGAGCACCACTTTACGCTCCGACAGCCAGAATTCCATTGCGGCTAGCAGTGGTTTCACACTTCTCCATTTCGAATCTTCGCTGAGTCTTTACCACTCTCCCAAAAGTGAGTGCGTAAGCAGTCGGGGCCCAGCACCCCGAGAAAACAAAGTTTTAATGTCATGGTTCCGACAGACAGAGACGAATAAAGCAGAACTCTGAGGCTTACAAATTCCTCAAAGAACTTGTTTATTAGTTACAAAGTATCGGCACGGTCAAGAGTGAAACCAAGACTGGATACACAATTTTCCAATACAAAATTAAATGTTCCACCCTTAAAAGCTATGTAAGCAACTACATTCCCCAGTATGATTATTTGGCGGGCTTGTTATGCAACGCCCAGTCCCTAGTCTCGGGAGCAGCCGATGACCTTGGTTCCCACAGGACAAAATATTATTTTGATTAGCGAAGCACCTGGGCAGCCCCCCTCGCTCCGTTCTATGTGGCAATCTAAAATGAGAAGGAAAATGGCTGCAGCCATGCTCATTTGTAGGGTTGTCACAATCTGCAAAATTAGATGTTTCACTGAAACAATTCACACTAATGAATTTTATAGCAGAAAATAACATACCTGCTGGGGTGTTGATGGTGTTCGTCCACCAGGATACCCAGCTTTAAAAGAAAAATATAACTGAGATACAATTCTTATATGTAGTTAATATCTTAGATGCATAACAGATTATGACTAAACATCAGGGTTTATAAAAGAGCCTGTGTGAGAAACCTGTACCTCTCTTTCAGAACCAACTATTCATTTGATATTACAGCCTGGAGTGCTCTAATTTTTTGCCCAAGATAATTTTCAACAGTAACTGATTACACTTGGTTACAAAAAAAATAGGAATAGAGTTAGTAGTAGATCTAGTGCACCATTGAACAGGCTATGATTCAAGGGAATTACTATGATTCAAGGGAATGGGTCTGTCTAGTTTGGTGAAAAGAAGGATTAGGGGTGACATGATACCAGAGCTGCCACAAAGAAGAGGAGGGTCAACCTATTTTCCAAAGCACTAGAACAAGAAGCAATGGATGGAAACTAAACAAGGAGAGAAGCAACCTAGAACTAAGGAGAAATTTCCTGACATTGAGAACAATTAACCAGTGGAACAGCCTGCCTTCAGAAGTTGTGGGTGTTCCATCACTGGAGGTTTTTAAGAAGAGATTGGACCACCACTTGTCTGAAATGGTATAGGATATCCTGCCTGAGCCTGCGGTTGGACTAGAAGACCTCCAAGGTCCCTTCTATCTCTGTTATTCTGATATTCAGTGCTTTTAGCAAGACAGAGAAAGACAGTCCTACGTACTGTCATGAAGCCAATTTATTATAGCTGAACAAATGTTATTTATATCAAATACATACTACTGCTAAAATCTGTGGTACTTGTAGACACACATATTGCACCAAAGCAATATAATCTATAAAACACAAATCAGGAGTCCCAATACCTGTCAACAGTAAAAAAAAAGTATGTACATTTTCCTTGATGCATTTGATTTTTTAATATAAAAAATCATTTAAATCAGATTTTAGATTAACTGCTATAGGGTTTTTTGTTCTTTTTTTTTTTTAGCTTAAATTATTGTTTCCTTTCTCCTGACAGTGAGAACAATGAACCAGTGGAACGGCTTGCCTTCAGAGGTTTTAGATGCCCCATCACTGGAGGCTTTTAAAAAGAGACTGGACGGCCATTTGTCCAGAATGATATAGGGTCTCCTGCTTGTGCAGGGGGTTGGACTAGAAGACCCCTAAGGTCCCTTCCAACTCTATTATTCTGTTATTCTGGAATGCCATAGGCTCACATGCTGCGTCTTCCTAATTTCTGTACCAATTTTCTTTATTCTCGCGTGAAATATTGCACAGATGCATTTCCACTGAGCATTCTTTGTGATCAGCTTCTAAGTCACTTTTAAAGGCTACATTAATCAGCAACCACACAACTGATTCCAAAATTAAGCAGAAACACCAGCAGACGACGATGGAGCTAAGCCTGTGTACAGATGCTGTTTCTTGAATCCATGTCTAAGCATGGGAACATTTATTAGGCTGTAATGCATTTTACTTCTAAAGAAGCAAAAATACGATCACGGCTTCTTCTTATTTGGATTATACCTGGTATTTGGGCTGGACCACCTCCACCGTAAATTTGGGATTGAGGCTGTGGATAGCCAAAACCAGAGCCAGAGGGAGGTACTCCGAAACCAGCATCTGGAAGAAAATGCTTATTACTTTGCAGATAAAACTAAGACGCCATGCTATTATAACTAAAATATTTAAAAATACAATTTATGCAAAACAATCCTTACCAGCAAAAGCTGTTTTCTAATTGCGGCTTCTCTTATCCACACTACGCCATACTACCCACATTTTATATATACGTGAGACAGATTTTTTTTCTTTTAAAGTTTTATGTTAAGGTTTATCTTATTTGTAGAGCTTTTTCCTAATATATCTTCCAAATAGTCAGCTTGTGATATAAGACCGGGACTGGTCCAGGGCATCAGATATGCAGAAGCTTTAAACGTGACCAGGACTTGATCAATACTTGATTAAGAAACAAATAACTGGTATGTATTTAGTGTTTTCCCTCTGTTTTATTCTCCTAACAATCCATTATTGTTATACACCAGGGGTGTCAAACTCAATTTCATTGAGGGCCGCATCAGCATTGCGGTTGCCCTCAGGGTGCCAGGTGGGTGTGGCCAGGGTGGGTGCGGCCTACTGGGTGGGCGTGGATGGTGTGGGTGTGGCCTACTGGGTGGGTGTGACCAGCTCTACATCGTTCGCATCAAGGGTGCCTGTGGGGCCCTGGGCAGGAGTGGGATAGATCTGAGGGTCTCTGGCAGAAGGGGGTGGGACCAGGGCAAGTGCCAAGGCATGGTCCACTGGAGGAGCCTCACTGTTCCTCTCAGGCCTTACGGGGGGGGGGGTATGGAGCTAAGACTGAATGCATTTCAGCATAGATGGCCACCACAAAATTGTACATTGGCTCCTAGCCGGCCTGGGCCAGGGCCAAGGCAGAGGGGGCCGTTCCCTCACTGTTTCCAGGATGGCTTCGCGGGCCACATGAAACCACTTCGCGGGCTGCATCCGGCCCCCGGGCCTTGTGTTTGACATGTCTGTTATACACTGTGATACAGCAGGATAGCAGTCCTATTACCTGCTTGCTTAGATTTCTTGAAATACCAGACACAAACATTCAGCACTCGAAAACCCACACTGCAAACAGCACTTGGGAACATACCTCCAGGATAAGTTGGCATGCCACCAGGCTGAGGTAGTCCAGGGTATCCACTAGATGCGGGAGGATACCCACCAGGTGCAGTTGGGTAGCCTGCAAACCCTGGGAATTCCCCAGTTGGTGGAGCTACATTATATTCACTGCCCCCCACAGGTGGGAAGCCTCCAGGCCCCGCAGGGTAAGCATACTGATTAGCAGGTGGATATTCCTGTCCTGTAGGCTGAATAGAAACAACCAATCAAGTATTAGCATACTGGGAAACAGACTCTATTACTCATTTAATTAAGCAGCATAGGATCTACACATGTTATAGCCAGCATGGTAATTACTGAAAATTCTGGGACTTAAGTCTACATGCCTGGGAAGCATCTATCCTGGGGTTGGTTCCTTTACAACAGATATGTCAAACTCGCAACGTCACGTGACGTCGCACGACATATCGGAGCTTTTTCCCTATTACTGGCAATGGGGTGGGCGCGGTTTCGTCGTGACCCGTCCGGCCCGCAGGCCGACAGTTTGACATCCCCTACCTTACAATGATAAAGATGCTTTTGGACAATCTTTCTCATGTGCAGTGTAGCTCATTATGGCAATTTTATGAGACATTTTGAGGGTGTAATTATTCCTTAATCATCAGTTAACATTTTTGTTACAGGATAATCTGTCCCTTCTTCTGAATTCAGAATCTTATGTGGAGAGGGAACTTAGCTCAGCACACATCTCAGCTATATTTTTAGTTACACAAGCCAAGAGTAAGTTCTGCTCAATTTTCCTCAGGCCTATTTTTTTATCTGTAAAAAAAATGGGGATGACAAAGACCAGACTTGACTCCCAGGTTGCAAGGGGTTTTGCAATTGTAATATTGTGAGGAAAATGCTTAGAAATCCCATTTGAGGGAGCACTAGGGGCCATCCCGATACATTTTTGTATGTGCATGTCCAACCACAGAATCTATTTCATCATGCCAATTTGTTCATTATCCAGGCACAACCACATTTGGATTTTCCTCGTCATGCTCATCTCCCAGTTAAAAAGTCCTAAAAAACTATTCTTGTACATGTTCAGCCTCAGTCACGCTTAAGATCCTTTCCTGACAATATATTTCCCATTCATGTTTCAATTTCTTCTATAAAAGTCCTTTCTCTTTTATTCTACAATATATTACAAGCCTCCTCTATTGTCTCTTGCCACTGAGATCAACTTGATAGAACTTAGCACAGGGGTCTTCAAACGTGGCCCTTTTATGACTTGTGGACTTCAATTCCCAGAATTCCTCAGCCAGCTGCGAGTTGAAGTCCACAAGTCATAAAAGGGCCACGTTTGAAGACCCCTGACTTAGCACAATGTCCCTTTAAACTATACTCTGCATTTCAGCAGGATTGCAGCTCTGCTGTTTTCAGAAGAATTTGTCAAATGTAATCAGGAAAGGTGCATAAACACATTCTTTTTTTGCTATTTCAAAAATGTAAAGAATAGAAATGTCTTCCACTTATTTTTCGATATTGGGCAGGCTTTATTGGAAAATTATATCTGTAAATATAATTTCCCTCCTGTAAATTTTCCCAGAAAGTTATATGCATTTTCATTTATTTTTTTTTTTTAAAAAAAATCAAATTCTAAAAGAGCCTATTGCTAGAACCTTCATGGAATTTAATAGGCTTCATTTATTCACTAAAAATCTAAAGTGCTTCCACATTCCACCAAATAATTGATCAATTAAGAAATGGACAGAAAATCTTAATGGGTAGAATGTCTCTAATTAAGATGGATGTTTTACCAAAGATGCTTTTTCTGTTTCAGGCATTACCAATACAGGTAGTCTTCAACGTACGATCACAATTGAGCCTAAAATTTGTGGCTAAGTGAGAAATGTATTAAGTGAGTTTTGCCTCATTTTACGACTTGTCTTGCCACATTTGTTAAGTGAATCACTGCAGTTAAGTTAGTAACACGGTTGTTAAGTGGCATCTCCATTGACTTTGCTTGCCAAAGGTCGCAAAAGGGGATCACATGATCCTGGGACACTACAACCATCATAAATATGAATCAACTGACAAGCATCCAAATTTTGATCACATGACCATGGGAATGCTGCAATAGTCGTAAGTGTGAAAAATCGTCATAAGTCACTTTTTTCCATGCCATTGTAACTTTGAACAGTCACTAAGCCAGGGGTAGGCAACCTCGGCTCTTTTATGACTTGTGGACTTCAACTCCCAGAATTCCTGAGCCAGCATGGCTCCACTTGGAAACCTCTCCCTTTCCCCTCAGCGTGGCTGGCTCAGGAATTCTGGGAGTTGAAGTTCACGAGTCATAAAAGAGCCAAGGTTGCCTACCCCTATCCTAAGTCCTCCTGTTCTAAGCGGTGAGCCTCCTAGACCAGGGGTAGGCAACCTTGGCTCTTTTATGACTCGTGGACTTCAACTCCCAGAATTCCTGAGCCAGCATGGCTCCGCTTGGAAACCTCTCCCTTTCCCCTCAGCATGGCTGGCTCAGGAATTCTGGGAGTTGAAGTCCACGAGTCATAAAAGAGCCAAGGTTGCCTACCCCTGCACTAAGCAAAACTGCTGTAAGTCGAGTACTACCTGTACTTGCAACTGATACTCCATTTAAAGAATGGCAGATGGATATTTGTAAGTGAATGTGGCAAGGGAAGAAACCAAGAATGAGATACAAATTATTGCAAGATGCTAAGGAAAGAGGAGGTTTGGGTTACCAGATTTGAAACTGTATTTCAATGCTTGCTGTTTAGTCTGGCTAAAAGAATGTGCCCTATGCCCCAGACCTTTCCCTTCCCCCTTCCCCTCCCTTATTTCCCTACTGGGTTTTTTTTTTTTTGTATTTCTGTATTTTATATTATAAATTAATAAATTATAAAAGAGAAAAAAAGAAATGAACAGAAAATCATCGCCATTTATAGTTTTTTTTTTCATAAATAGAATGTCTGAGGCTTTATTTTACCAATCTCAAGATAGATTCAGACCAAATTGTGCCGCCATTAGTTTATTACATAAATTGCTCAATTGTCTTCTTTTTTTTTAACCTTGGTTTCCCCAGCCCCCAGCATATAATAACCAAATCAATACTTGCAGGATAACCAGGAAAAGATGGGTAGCCTGATGGAGGATATCCTGGGTACGACATTCTGTAAGGTAAGAAAAAAAAAAAACACTTGACACCTTCTGTAGAATTTCATCATTTCAAGCATTGGAGCACTAATGAACTCACAGAAGGGAGAGAAGAGGCAATATAAAACTCCTTTTATTCACATCACTTTTTAATTGTATATCTATGTGCGTGATATACAGTAAAACTTGTTAATAGTAATAATTTTTATTTGTTTTTAAATTTCTTCAAGTGAATGCTTTACTTTTTTAGGAATTCATGAAAAAAGGAAGGAAGGAAGAATAGTCTGAGATTAATTCATTCAATTGGTTATATTTTGGCTATATTATAAATGAATCATAGCAAGCATATGTCTGCCTGACAGCTGGTTGCTTACCAAATGTTCACCAAATACCCAAACAGATAAATACCCAAACAGATAAAAAACATAAAGCCCAGATTTCTAGGCAATGGGAAGTATTTGCAGACACCAAAATTGTAAACAAGGGCTATGCAAAACATTTCAAAGAAGTGCTCTGTAATGTACAGTTTAAAAAAAAATCTCTCTTGAAATTATTAATACATTAGGGTTTCTTGGAAGGCCCACATAACTACGCTAAAGGCCATTCCCAGCTGTCTTGGTACACATGTGGAAGCAACACCACTTAATTGGCAATCCCAATGAAAGTGCTGTTTGCATATTCACACATACGTACAGACCACTGAGGACAGCTTGCAAAGCTGCCACACAAATGGTCGTTGCAAAACATACGAGTATTTTAATGCTTCTGACAGGGATGCTATGTCCAAGCACAATCCTAACGATCACTTTAAAAATGCAAAAGTATAAAGCTTTAAGATCAATTTTGTTGGGCTAAGCCTAAGAATGACATACAGTGAGGGGGGAAATTATTTGATCCCCTACTGATTTTGTACGTGTGCCCACTGAAAAAGAAATGTTCAGTCTATAATTTTAATGGTAGATTTTAACAGTGAGAGACAGAATAACAACAGAAAAACGCATTTCAAAAAAGTTATAAATTGATTTGCATTTTAATGAGTGAAATTAGTAGTTGACCCCTTCGCAAAACATGACTTAGTACTTGGTGGCAAAACCCTTGGTGGCAATCACAGAGGTCAGACGTTTCTTGTAGTTGACCAGCAGGTTTGCACGCATCTCAGGAGGGATTTTGTCCCACTCCTCTTTGTAGATCCTCTCCAAGTCATTAAGGTTTCGCGGCTGAAGGACGAACCTTTAACTCCCTCCACAGATTTTCTATGGGATTAAGGTCTGGAGACTGGCTAGACCACTCCAGGACCTTAATGTGCTTCTTCTTGAGCCACTCCTTTGTTACCTTGGCCGTGTGTTTTGGGTCACTGCCATGCTAGAATACCCATCCACAACCGATTTTCAATGCCCTGACTCCTTGAGGTTCTCACCCAAGGTTTGATGGTACATAGCTGCGTCCATCGTCCCTTTGATGTGGTGAAGTTGTCCTGTCCCCTTAGCAGAAAAACACCCCTAAAGCATAATGTTTCCACCTCCATGTTTGATTGTGGGGATGGTGTTCTTAGGATCATAGGCAGCATTCCTCCTCCTCCAAACACAGCAAGTTGAGTTGATGCCAAAGAGTTCGATTTTGGTCTCATCTGATCACAACACTTTCACCTCTGAATCATTCAGATGTTCATTGGCAAAATTCACTTTAATCTCATCTCGTTCCCTTTATAAAAGACACCTGGGAGCCAGAAATCTTGCTGGTTGATAGGAAATCATATACTTATTTCATTCATTAAAATGCAAATCGATTTATCACTTTTTTGAAACGAGTTTTTCTGGATTTTTCTGTTGTTATTCTGCCTCTCATTGTTAAAATAAACCTACCATTAAAATTATAGACCAATCATTTCTTAAGTTGCATTGCAAAGCCACATAGCTGAGAAATATTGTAAAAATGGTAGGAACTGCATAACCCAAGTGACGGTTTGCCACGGAACTTTAAAAGAGGATTAAAAGTCTCTCCTTCTGTGCTGATTCTACTAAAGAACAATCGGTTCTACTTCTAATCCATTTTATGTCAACAATGGAAATCTGACAAAGGTGCAACCTCACTTTTCTCCCTCCGTTTCAGCACTTTTATTAGTTGCAAACCATCCTCATTGGTGAGTCCACCCAGTATTCCATTGCAGCCCCTCAAACCTGAAATTACATCTTAGATGATGAGCCCCACAGTACCTCAACCGCCCGAACTCCCTCATGATCGAAGGTGAACACTCCAAAATTAAAGACATTATGAATTCCCGTAAGCACCGAAGGAAGATACCGTATTTACTCGCATGGACTTTCCCCCTTCCGAAACCGAGTGGGTTGACCACGTTAAAGCCGCCAGACTCCTAAAATGCTTCCATAATCAGTGTCCCAGTAACCTCGCTATTTAATTGTCTTGTGCTTCTCTTTCTCTCTCCGTTTTATTATTTTTCTGCTCTGCAGGACTAACGTCTGTGTTCAAGGGGGGGCAGCATATCAGGTCCACCATCACCGGCGTGTGCCTTGCTGCTGTCCTGCCATTAAGAAAGGGGGATGGAGGGGGTTTATTGGGTGCTATTGCTGTAACGTCCAAGGCCGTTTTCCCGGAGAATGGAATGTTACCAGTCTGACACCTCAGAATTTCTCAAAACATCTTACGGCAGGGGTGTCAAACTCAATTTCATTGAGGGCCGCATCAGCATTGGGGTTGCCCTTGGCGGGGCCGGGTGGGTGTGGCCAGGGTGGGTGAGGCCTACTGGGTGGACGTGGATGGAGTGGGTGTGGCCTACTGGGTGGGCGTGGCCAGCTCTACATCGTTCACGTCAAGGGTGCTTGTGGGGGCTTGGGCAGGAGTGGGACAGATCTGAGGGTCTCTCGCAGAAGGGGGTGGGACCGGGGCAAGCGCCAAGGTATGATCCATTTCTTCATTCCTCACAAAAGGTGACACCTCCCCAGCATGCACCTAGGGGCAGGGCCGACACGGCAGTGGCTGGTTCCTTGCTGTTTCTAGACGGCCTTATGGAGCTAAGACTGAATGTGTTTCAGCATAGATGGTCACCACAAAATTGTACATTGGCTCCCGGCTGGCCTGAGCCAGGGCCAAGGCAGCGGGGGCCATTCCCTCACTGTTTCCAGGATGGCTTTGCGGGCCACATGAAACCACTTCGCGGGCCGCATCCGGCCCCTGGGCCTTGTGTTTGACATGTCTGTCTTACGGGCATCGTTTTGGCTGGCTAGGGGACTAGTCGTGGGGGGAGGGAGTGGGAAAAGGAAAGAATAGCTTTATATTTTGAGCAGGAACACCAGATTCCGTCTGACTTTACTGCAACCAGTTTCTTTCAGTAGAAGTTCCTCTACCTCAACCAAATGGAGGCACAAGTCTTACTTTCCTGACTGGGGAAGACCTGACACAAAAATTGTAAGGAGTGTGGGCATATATGGAATGGCAAGTGCCACTTGACTGCCTAAGGAGGCAGAAAAAAGCCAAGTTCTTTAACCTGATCACGGTCATAGTAGTGTGTTTCAAGCAGCTGACTGGCCACAGAACACTGCGACTGCAGTGCTTGCTACACCTTGCTTCCTTGATCTTTTAAGTTTTCTTTCCTTCTCCTTTAAACCTTTATTTTTCTTTCCTATGCTTTGTTTTGCTATTCAGCCTGAAGACAGAGCTGAGGGAAAAAAGCTCTTTCTCTTATGCAGCCTGCAAAAAGGGGGGGGGGGATAAACTGCATTAGAAGATGAACAATTTCAATTCTGGCTTCTAGTCAAAATTCTATCATTCTGTAATTAATCCTCTTTCTTGGCTCCATCTGCAGGTGCAAAGAATGGTCAAATTGATGAAATATTAAACGATTGGTTAATCCTGCTCAGGCCTCTTCAATCTTTTTCAATCAGCAACATTCCTCTGAAAAAAGGCTTGTATTATCAGTATTAGTTCTCAGTAAATATATTTTAAATATTTTTTTATATAAGCATTATATAAAAAATTAACTTGAAAGGCTGCTGTATCTGTAGTACTTCCAAGAGCCAGCATAACTGGAGAAGTACACTGTGCAATTTGTTTGTGATGTAAAATTCACTGGCAGCTACCCCAGTGGTACAAATGTCTTAAGAAAAAGTTGGACAATCTGTAGCTTGCATGGTGCCCTCAGAAAAAGTGCAAGCAGGCCTATCTGGTTTTCCTGCTAGCAAGTAGATCAGTCTACCAACGGAGAAGAAATTGTAGCAGAGAAGCGGGGATTTTCAGCAGCTCTGCTTAAAAAAGCACAATGTTTTCCCCGTGGTGGTGCTGAAAACTGAACTGAAAAAGCTTCTTGGTTGAATGAGAAGCCAAACATCTTCAGGGGGGGGGAGTCCTTTTGACAAAATACCTTTGGGACAACCATGATCTGGATGACAGGGAATTTCCATAGACATTTGCTGAAAACGGTATTTCCCAGAACAGCTGCAAATCAAATTCCTGGGGGTGAGGAAAATTATCTCCCTTAGCTCAAAAACTTCCTGAAGGGAACAGGATGGATGTGCGAAGGCGTTTCCATGCGTTCACAGATCGACTTTATATTTATTTATAAAATTTAGTTGCCACAACGTCTCTAGGGAAACAACCTACTCTAAAGAAGGCTGCTGACCTGTCTTAGAGCAGCTATGTATTTTAAGGAAGGAGAAACCAGCATATTGTCAACGAAGGGATTAATGACTCACACATTCTGATTTCTACTAGCTGCCAACACCCTAGATCAAATCAAGGAGAAAAAATAAAACACAAAGAGAAGACTGTCCCGATTAAGTGCTTCAATTTAGCACGCTATCATTAATTTGCTCATTACATAACGAGCCTCGAAGAGAAAAGCGGCAAACACAAGAACAGACTGTCCCGATTAAGTGCTTTAATTTAGCATGCTATCATCATTCGTTTGCTCATTATATAACAAGCGTCTAAGAGAAAAACGGCAAACTCAAGAACAGCAAAAAAATGAAAGGCCTTGAATCATTTTCACCTCTGCGCTGACTGACTTGTACACAATTTCAGGCGCTTTTATTCCACATTTTCACTTCATGAATGACTAATATATTCACAATGAGAAAGTTGGCTTAATGAGCCGAAGGGGGCTTCAAATGGAAACAAGGAAACAGGCAGCCGAGTGCATTTAGCTGGTTATAGCAGGAGGCACCCTAGCCTCACTAATTGGGACATTCCCCCCCATAAAATAGCACTATTATTATTATTATTATTATTATTATTATTATTATTATTATTATTATTATTATGGATCATCACACAGTCAGCCAGATGTTCAGACTGGATTTAGCATTTTGTCTACCTATCGAGTCCTTTCCCAGGACCTGGGATAGGCAGATGTGGATGTTTGATGGTATTATAGATATCGTCGCAGGATGGAAGCAGTTCCTAGTAAGGCCGCCTTTTGCAATTGACTAATAGCGAATTTGTCATTATTATTATTATTATTATTATTAGTATTATTAGTATTATTATTAAAGAAGCAAAGATCCAGAAAACTAGGGGCAGGGACACGCCCTGCGAGAGAAACCTGGAAAAGGAGGGAAAACGGCCGTCTCTGCAAGGGGTCGTCTCTGCCGCCTCAGACGGAGCGCTTCTTCCCGGCTCGGCCTCCCTTACCCCCGGCACTCGCCTGCAATGTGGCTAAGAACCTCGGCGTCCCCTCCGACCACCAACGCGCAGTTAGAAGAGCAAAATGGAGACGGGCGAGGCGAGCCTGTTCCGCCCTTTCCTGGTCCGAGGGCAGGAACGTTTCCGCCCCGCCTGCCTTCCGCCTTCGCTGGGCAACGCGAAGGCGAAAGCGGCTCCAGGCAGCTTCGCCTCCGGAAGTACGAACTTCGGCATTGGGCTGCCCGTCCTCGCCCCGGCACGGAGCCGGGCTGCGAGACTAGCGCCGAGAGGCCGGCTGCGCTCCGACGCCTTGCCGCCTCTCCTCGGGGACTGCGACTCGGGAGCGCCCATCTTCCTCGAAGGAGGGCGGCGCTGCCGCAGACCCTCGCTTGGAAAAAAAAGATCGGGAATCAGCTGGATCGGGAATCGGCCCTGTGATTTAGGCCCTGCGTCCCCCATTCGGGAGAGAGAGAAAGGGGCGCTTGTCTGGTCAAACTAAGGATGCGTAATTTCCCCGCCCGCAGTTTTGCTTGTTATATAGTTAGATGAAAACTTTAAGTTTTGCTTCGGCGTGAATAGATTCTATTAAACCGAGGAAACAGGATTTATCTTAATGTTTGGTTTTTTTTGCAAGGGAGCAAGAGGAAAATCCACTGAAATAAAAGCACACTTGGCACGTAACTATAGATCTGCTCTTCTTGGCAATGCTGTGCCATCAAGGATCTGAATCAGACGTTCAGGTACAACCAAAGTTAAACCCAAATTTTCTGTTACTAAGCGAGAGAGTTGTGCCCCGTTTTACCATCTTTCTTGCAAATAATAATAATAATAATAATAATAATAATAATAGAAGAACTGGAGAAGATAACAAAATACAAAGACCTACAAATAGAAATAGAAAGACTGTGGCAAAAGCAAGGGTACTACCACTAGTAATAGGCGCCTTGGGTGCAATCCCAAAACAACTGGAGCACCTCTTGGACACCATCATCGGCATTGACAAATTCGCCATTAGTCAATTGCAAAAGGCAGACTTACTAGGAACTGCATCCATCCTGCGATGATATCTGTAATACCATCAAACATCCACATCTGCCTATCCCAGGTCCTGGGTAAGGACTCAGTAGGTAGACAAAAGGTCAAATCCAGTCTGAACATCTGGCTGACTGTGCAATGATCCATAATAATAATAATAATAATAATAATAATAATAAAAAAAAAAGTTGGAAGGGACCTTGGAGGTCATCTAGTCCAACCCCCTGCTCAGGCAGGAAACCTTATACCATTTCGGACAAATGGCTGTCCAGTTTCTTCTTAAAAACTTCCAGTGTTGGAGCATCCACCGCTTCTGGAGGCAGGTTGTTCCACTGGTTAATTGTTCTGTCAGGAAGTTTCTCCTTAGTTCTAGGTTATTAAGTGAATCATTGCAGTTATTCAATGAATCTGGCTTCCCCAGTAACTTTACTTGTCAGAAGGTTGTGAAACATTATCACATGATCCCAGGACACTGCAACCTTCATATATATGCCAGTTGCCAAACATCTGAATTTCGATCATGTGACCATGGGTAGGATGCAATGGTCATGTGGAAAACAGTAATAAATTACTGTTTTCCGTGCTATTGTAACTTCAAATGGTCATTAAATGAATTGCTGTAAGTTGAGGAGTATTTGTATTGAGCTACACAATATCTGCATGAAACTTCTGTCATATTCCAACTCTCATTTCTGTGTATAAAGTAAATTCAGATCTGATCATCTTTGCCTCCCACACCTTGAGAGACAGGTATCTGTATAATTTTAAAAAGCACAATTGAAAAAAAAATTAGAATGAGAACAGATTCAGGTAAATAGTTCCAGTCCATAGGAATTGTATCAAAATAAGTGCAATTTGGCAAAAAAAGTGTATAATAAAAGATTAAGGATAAGGATTTGTGATGACAGAAAACTAAATAGCCATGATTTTCTTAAAAAACCCACACAAAACTCAATTTGGCTATTATCCTAGACACCTTTATGGTAGCTGAATGACAATCTCTGCTTTAGTTTTTGCTATGTACACATGTATACAATCTTAGTGGCATAATCAAATTTGAAGAAACCATGAACTTGATTTTCTATTTTTCATTTCTTCCTTCATATTTGAAAATGGTAAAAAAGAAAGGAATAGTCTTTTCTCTGGCTTAATCAGATTAAAACTTCTGCTACATTTGGATCGTGTGGGGTCCATGATTCAAATGAGAAGGCGATGCCACTTCCCAACAACATCCATGTTTAAAATGATTGATGATGCATGACGTCCTCCATGCTGTATAAAAGCTAAAACTCAGGCATCCTAAAGGTGATGCAATGCTATTCAAGCAGAATCCTGTAGTGGCTACAAAAGCACTACAGCAGTGGTGGTGAACCTATGGCATGGGTGCCAGAGGTGGCACACAGAGCCCTCTCTGTGGGCATGCGCATCGTCGCCCCAGTCCTAGGCCTTCAGCTGGGTTTTATAAAACCTTTTCGCTTTAGGCCTCCGCCGCCATGTGCAAAAAAAAAAAAAAGGTTCAATCAGTCAATTTCAACTTCTCGCAGGAAAACAAAAGTTCTTGCAAAGTTGGAATTGATTGAACTTTTTAGTCCCAGTCTGCCGTTACCACTGCAGCCACGCCCAGCCAATGGGCCACGCCCACCCAATGGGCCACACCCACCCGGCACTCGACGATGCATAAGTGGGTTTTGGGTTGCAGTTTGGGCACTCGGTCTCTAAAAGGTTCACCATCACTGCACTACAGGCTTCTGCTTGAAGATGCAGTAAATAAATAAATATTGTCATTGGTGTTTTTAATAGACATCAAGAACCACAGCTCTGATTTCTTCTATTTCTTTTTTGGGTGTATTATACAGTACTCCTTGATATTCTCCCTTTGTTTTCTACACATAATTTATCCTGAATAGAAACTTGAGTATTAACAAAGATGTGATTTTTACAACAATAACAAAAAGAAGCTCAGGGCTAGTGCCAATTCAGATATTCTTGGTTGTGTTATTACCTAATCATTGGCCAGCTTCATCAACAAATGACAACATTGGTTGAGAAAATAATATATATAACATGTACAGGGATATCTTCATACAGGGACAGCTTTAAGATTGAGAGGCATAGAATTGTGTCTCCTCAGAATCCTCATCCGTTTATTAAATAGCCCTAGATGACAGCTGGTAGCAACAGGTATTTCTAAGCCACTATCTGAAGGGATAAGCCACGGTGTGAAGACCCAAAAAGTTTCTGCAAGAAATGGCTTGAGACCTCCAACCCTCTACCTATAGACTCAGCCATTCCACTACAGCATTATCATCAAAGGCAAAGAAGCAGGCATTACCAAATTAAACACCATCTGGTTTAGCGTTCTGTTCCCACAGCAGTCAATCAGTATCTGTGGAAAGGGCCAGCAATAGTACCTCCCATTTATATTCATCACTGAAGAGTAAAATCTTGAACAAGACCAGATCTTTAAGATCAAGATGCCAATTCTATTCCCCTATCTGGCAGTATTGCTACATCAGGAGCTGTGTACAGGGAAATAATGTTTGGTTTATAATTCAAATTCCAAACACATCTACGGAGCATCAATCCATGATAGAACTATTATTCATATATAAAGAAATATATCATGATCATCTGACCTCATCCCTGCATTAATCACTAGATCATCTTCCACTTTCTCACTAGATAGCCAAGTTCTCAAGCTTCTACTCCTGAAAGGAAAATCCTTGAAGTAAGGATATCTGTTCTTGCTCAAGGATTAAACTCCCTCTCATGAGTCTCTCCTTCCTTGAGACCATCATTCCATAACAGAACAGTCATTGTTTTCATTTCCTCCAGGTCAACTACCTAAAGGAATTTCCCGAGACCCAGGATGCTATTTTCATTTAAGCACATACCTACAATTTCTGCTGGCAAGTTGTGGTACTGTGATACAAGAATGCATTCATTAGCTTTCACAGCCTTGTTAATTTTCTACATTCATAGCACAGTTGAAACATTGGTTATATGAGAACAATTCTCCTTCTGCCTTGCACTTCAACAAAATCTTGTTGTTCATGATTTTTTTAATCAACTTCAGTCCCACAAGTCTCTATCCTAAAAGAAAGTAATCTGTAAAACAGAGAATGCGACAGAGATTAACTTTTTTTTTCTACAATGCCTTTTCCTACACCCATCTAAATCCTAAACATACTATGTAGAAATGAAAGAAACGTAGTCATTTACTAACAAGAAAGCAAAGCTCTTCGTATATTTTGAATGACATTTTGAAAAGCTTATTATTTTTAATGAAATTATTCTTTCTTTCCCGCTCGAAGCTGATAAATATTTTCAAAAACAAATTCAAATATATTTCCCAAGTAGAAATCAAGGATCCCTACACATTTATAGAACTATGTTAATAATATACAAGCAAGACAGGAGCTTAGCAATTCCTTGATGGTTTTTAATGATCATCACCTTTCTGATCATACTTAGAAGAGGAAAAAAAGTGATGAGAAAGATTAATTCAGCAGTCACTTCAGAAGATAGGATCCAATTACAAAGTCTAGACTGTGCAAAGAAGTTCCACTGTTTCTTTAGGTGGTCTTGTTAATAGATGGTTAAGATTTCATTACAGGTTTAAGATTTTTTCATTGAGTGCAATCTGCGACTGGGTAAGATTTGCCAAATAGGTTACCATCAGCAGGTCCTAAAGAGGAAAAAAATATATATATTTAAGATTCCTTACATTGTGCAACACTGTTCAATGGAAACAATAGAAACAAATCTGTAACTTTGTCCGATCACTCATACCAATAAACAAACATATTTTTAAAACTTCCAATTCTAGTGGCATAAATGATCTAGAGGGAATTGAAGGGGAACTCTGCCGCGCCCTCAAGACATGGCTATTCCAGCTAGCGGGGCTGGCCTGAGGGGTATTTTAGATTGGATTTTAATTGGATTTTATATTGGGTGTTAACAAAAATTTTAAATGAAACGGCAAAATTAATATTTCTTTTAATTATATTTTAAAACGGTGTTTGTAGGGTCTTTATCTGTTTTTAGCTTGCTGTAAGCCGCCCTG